CGCGTTTTCAAGGCTGTCGCGGCCTTGTCAAGTCCAATGCTTATAATATGGTTATGTTATGGTGGTTCTAGATCATTAGACATTGAGTTAACGCAGTTTGGTGCGATGTAATATACGTGTAGTTGATCTCACTTTGTGCCTGCAATTTCATCTATGATTAAGCATTTAAAGCAAACTAGTTTTTCGCATTTATTTATTAGTTACATTTGAGGTTTCGTCACAAATAAGAAATATTATTAATATAATTAAGGCTATCAGAGCAAAAGTGGTGGATATAGAAGATGAGGGATTTAAAATTAAATAAATTAATTTCATATATGTAGTAATCATACCAATATACATTTTTTTCATACAATAATTATGTACTTTAGTGTCATTTAAAGTAATACTGCAGAACAAAAATTAAATGTGGGTTACACCACTTTTATACATACCCATAGTTCTGGTAGTATAATTATTTGACCTACTGCCTCTCAAGTAGAGGTCAAGGGTTGGAATCCGTGCTCGCACTTCTGAGTTTCTCGACGAAGGAAAACATCGTGATGAAACCTACACGACGAAGATGGTTCTCAACCCTCGGAAAACGTGTGAGGTTCCCAACCCGCATTGGGTCAGCGTGGTGGACTATGGCCTAAACCGTCGCCTGAGAGGAGACCCGTGCCCAGCAGTGGGACGTATATAAGGGTTGATGATGATCCCACTTTTGCGCTGGTAGCCTCAATTGTCGCGTATAATGCTATGCCGACGGTGTATTTAGTTAACAATATGATGTTTAAACGAAGTAAATTAAATGTCTACAATAATACAGACATATGCAAATGGAACGAGCACTATAAATAAGCCCCTGTTCCAGAGACCCAGTGCTACAAAGCAGGTAATAATAATACTCTTACACACAGGGCATCATACGTAGTGTATTAGACTGCTAAGAAGCCTAGCCTACTACGGCGCACAATCTTGTTACTTTACCCGATCTAATACTATTAGCTGCTTGGAAATATTAAACTCTTTTCTGGATTAAATTACAAAGGGACTTGCGGTTATAAAATGTATACGCGAAACTAGTAACGAATTCATGAATTGACTTATTGTCATTCAAAGAATGTTTCAAATAAGTTTATAAGAACTTTTAATAAATACTTATAATAGGTACATGACTAAATAATATATCTCTTCTTAAAATTCACTTACATAGGATATGGGGTATCAACTTGTTTTGTTTAATATTAGAGCATGTCATTGTCTTACTATATAATATATTTTTCAATATTCTGGCTCCCGCTACTTATTATATTTGGAGGGCTTAAATAGTAAGCATATGTATGTGGAGGGGGTGCGTGGTTAGTCAATACAATGTTGGCACTGGGAGGTTGGCCCGGATAATCCCAACCATTGTTAGCTATTTTAATGCTTATGCTCTTTGTGTGACCGTCCTGTATTAAGTCATACGCAGATAATCTCTGTATTATACCGAGTTAATTTTCCATTAGCTTGTTGCAAAGGGATTGGCAGCTGCTTACTGTCGCGAGCAGACAAATCGGCGACATGTACTCGCGTACACCTATTTTTGCATTACTAATATACTCACATTGTCGTTTTGTTTGCTCAAGGGAACATTTTGATTGAAATCTGTCGATTTCAATCAAAATGTTCCTAATGTGAATAAACGCGTGAAATACATCTATCTATTCCACGCGTTTTATGACGTCCACATTTGTCAGTAATTTACAAATTTATCTATAGAGTTCTATAATTGTAGAGTTATTTAAATTCACAGAATGTATAGGGTGCGTATAATACGTATACACTAGCCGTATACTGTATAGATAAGAGGGATAATAGAGCCAGTTAACTTCGGTTTGTAAGAGAAGATACATAGCCGGTACATAAGTGGGTCCCTTCCAAACGAAGCAGCATTACTTCTTGTGACTTTATTGCTCAATATTACAACCACTTGAACATTAATCTGGTCTTACTGTCACGCATCGTCGAGTGCGGCTAATATTTGCCGGAACAGGACACCATAAAGATGTTTCCGGCCTCTGAAAGTATCGGGTGGACAATGCAAACAGTGGCGAGGAGGTTCTGCCGCAGCTGCCCGCCGACACGACTAATTACATCAATTACAGGCAAACAGGGTCCGCTCGGGTTTCGATCCCACCTTTGTCAATATTTGCGCAGAGCCGCCGCGCGCTGCTAGCTCGTCGCACCACCTCTCTAGGCTGCAAACACAATCATCCGCGAGCAGCTTTTAATGTACTTGAAATTGTCCCTAATTGTTTGTTTGAGAACTGAGATTTCTAACTTACATAACAGAAAAAAAAATCTATTAATTAAATCCGAATTGGCTACATTCCATTGACAATCAAAATTAATCGAAAGGATAAAATATTCAGGAAAAAGACATTTATTTTATAAACTGTGGAGTTGTTTATAATTTTATCATCAAAAAGGTACGTATCGAAAAATAATTTAAGTACTCAAGATGGTGAAGGTTTTCAGTATTCACAAACTACAAATCAATCTATGTAACAGTTGAGGAACATTTCAACTAACATAACAAAATACATAATTTGCCACAATATAAAAAAAAAAAATAGTTTCCTGACGCCGTTGTACAAAACGGGGTAATATAAGAGAAAATCCGATGTTTAACGTGTGTAGATCCAAAGCCGTTTTTTATCTATTATTCTCTTAAATATCACTGGTATAATATAAAGTATTGTGCGAGTAAAGCTGCAAAAGGCGAACTCCGCAAATGCCGCGGGCGCAGCGCGACAAAACGAGTCAACGCTCAATTCGTTCGTAGTTAGATCCATGTATCAGTAATCCTTACGTCGATGACAATGGCTACAAAAAGGATGTGTGTCGTTTATTGTGATATCAATCGCTAGTAGAACCTTTGTAGGCTTTCCTATTATCTCTTTTCTTAAGATATAGCCATAATTTATGTGCTTTACGGCCATACGTTGTAACTTATCTTCCTATAAACTTTTTTGTTGATTTCTTTTAAAATGTTCTCTCAGTATGGTGTTTCAAGAAGAAAGTGAAGTACAATAAAACGATACACTATGTACCCATAAGCTTGAATCTTACAACACGCAGCCATATTGATAAATAATTAAAACTTCGTACAAACTTTTTCAAACGATTGAATTAATAAAATGACTTTTTCTTTTTTTTCTTCTCTAATACGAACTTTGTATTATATTCGATATTGTGAATATTTCATAGATGATAAAGAATTTCAAAGGAAAACCAGGAGGCTGGAGCAATCCAGGTGGAGGTATGCAGGGATACACTGTGAATTTCCAATAACACCCAGAATGTATAATTGCGAATAGATACGCATATCCGCTGCATTATGATGTTGCGCGGCTTCGGTGGCACTGCCGGTGTTAGGTATATGAGAAACACACGGCTATATGTTCCGGATGAGCCAATTTAAAATACTAACTTTTATGAATTGGTTTTGCTTTGGGTTATCTTGGTACCACAGTGTCTTTGTTCTGGTATGTCATTACTCGTAGTACCTACAACTAGTATCCTAGTTTTAGACCAGGTAAAATGGTATTGCGTGGTTCATTCGTTTTTTTACTTGGACGAAATAATAATTAATACTAATTTTATTTAAGGCTGTCTATTATATGTACAGTTTGTAGGTTTTCGCGGTTGTTATACATTTGAAATGAATGAATTTTTTCGGATCTAAATCGTGTATAGATATTTGTTTTTTCTTAAACAAATCAACATTTCTGGCTCTTTACAAGTTCTATATATAAGGCAAGTTGAAATAATGGGCTACTCATTAATGATTTCTAAAAGTTTCATGAATGTCCGATCAGATTAGAGCTAACAACCAAATCTTTAAACAACATTTGATTTTCCTGAGGTATCGTGTAAAGTGCATATCCCTAATAGGTGTCTATTGGAATTAATTCTGAAATTAACTGCCTCCGTGGTCGAACGGTTACCATACTGGCGTGCTACGCAGAGGTCCCGGATTCGATTCCCGTCTGGGAGAAATATTTGTATGGCCTAGATTTGTTTCTCTCGTGAGTTTTGGTGTAATTTGTGGTTGTCTATGCTGTGTCCATGGCACCCGTGATACAGGATTTCCCTAGTGTAGGGCAATAAAAAAATAATAAAACAGACTTTCCCGTTTCTCTTATACGTAACTTATAGAAAAAGGTTAGAACAGAAAATATAAGCACCTGTACATTTATTACAGAGTTTGTTAATATTTTGTTGTAATTAATTTGTGAATGCATACAATGTATTTTCTAATATTAAACATGAACAATAAAGTACAATCGATAATAGAACAGAATAAAAAATTATCTTCATCACTTGTTTTTATCGTATAAGTTGGTAAGTACTTAATTATAGGTATCTACTTGATTACCTATGTGTAAGTACATACATGTGGTCGTCCAAGATCATATTTGTAGAAATATATTAATGTTAATAGTGAGATTGTACCACACCTAGGGATTGTGTCATAACGTGGATTACTGTCTAAACGGGGGACTCGGATTACTATTACAACTTTTGGGAGCGTCGTCGCCGTGTGTCGTATTATCATATCCATTAAGCCGGGAAAGGCGGGGCCTGTTCTGCCACGCCCCGGGCACCGCGCGCCCCTGCCCCGCCCGCCGCGCCCTCAGGCTCGACACCCGCCAGCCAGCCGCCTGCCGTCTCATAACACGACAACTCACTAAAACGATTTGTCGGCAATCGCATCACGCATTCCGTTATCTCGTAATTACTAAACAACATTGCTCGACCGTGTACATATTTTTTTTTTAAATAACTTAAAAGTGATTCTTTGCATAGGAAGTGATTTTAAATTTACCGATTTTAAGACGGAATATTTTTATTATACTTGAAACTACTTTTGACGACTAAGAAATATTTGCGAATTAACACTAACAGTGGAAAGTTTTGGACAGTTGCCAGTGTATTGAAGAGTTTGAGGTTTTTGTTAGTGGTGTGGTGCCAGTCACGATGAGGGACTGAGTGTGATGTGCGTTATTGCGCGTTGGCGGTGAGTCCGTGATCAGCGGCAGAGCAGGGTGGCGACGTCGTCGCAGGTGCAACAGGCGCCGACGGTGCGGCTCGAAAGTCGCACGGAGGCCAGTGGCATGGGCGGCCCGGGTGACAGTTGGCCGCGTGAGGCGCCGGCGCTGCTCAGCACGGCTCTCCTGCTGGGCGGTGCGTTACCCGAGAGGCCCCCCGCTCCGCTTTTTACCATCGACAGCATCCTGGCGCCACGGCCGCAACCAGCTGCTACCATCCCGCCGCTCCAGTTGCATCATCTTACGCACAATCCCTTTCCAAGAGCTCATGATCTATTTGGTACGTCTGCCAAGCTCTTCACACTTGCCGGTGAGCCCTACTTAGTTTACTTTTAAAAAAGTTGCAATTTAAATATTAGCATTTGGGACTAATTCACTTAAAATTAATTAAATTACCTATTCGTGCCTGTTTGCTACGAAGTGCTACGAACTACAACGATACGCTACGATGCGTATCGTTGTAGATTGATAAACATCCACTCAACTTTTTTGGAAAATTTTATTGCATAGTAATCAAATTGCTATACGGTCAGATGGTCCACATATAATGTTTAGACACTTGTGGTACTATGGACTTACAACTTTAATATGGCAAAAGCATCGGCTGTGGGATATAAAGTTTTAAGTGTCCTTGTGTTCTCTTATCCTGATTTTTATAAACCGAAACACAAAAGTATTACAGTTTGCGGTAGAACCAAAGCAAGCTGGTGGAATCTCCTTAGGTGGGTTCTTTATTAACCCCAGTAAACGAAAAAGTAAGGCTTAACTCAAACTGGCGCAGAGTCGAGTGTTTTTCAACTACAACGCCTGGCGCGACACTCGTATTAGTGCGCCCGGATCAGTGTGGTCGGCGTCTGACGCCTCATTGCGCTCAAGTAACGCGCGGCGACGCGCGTCGACTGCACCCGAGCGTCGACGCTTGATTCTATATTTGCATAATAGAACTTTGTAGCTTAATAATGGGAAAATAGAAATGAATATGTTATAGGCGAAAACATGACGCGTCGCGACGCTTCGACTCTGCATCAGTGTTAGTTGAGCCAAATGGGAAAAACTTCAATGTTTTTGTAAAATTCCGAAATTTTACAAAAAAAATTGAAATTTTCTATACTAACGCTGTTAGCGCAACCTTCAAGTTTAAAATTATAAATTAGACCAAATTCTCAATATCATATTGTCATTGCTAACCTTATAATTATGTTATGATTATTTTTACTGTATGGTATAATATAGCGATTTGATTTCCGTAACTCGGCTTGGTAGCGCCTATTTTGCGTTTATTATGTATATATAATAATATACAAGTATGTTCATATAAATGTGAAAATTATTATTTATGTATACGATTACTGTAAATCTACACCTAGATAATAATGAATCCAACCCCGAGTTAAAAGATCAATTTATGGAATTTGAGATAATTGCTAAACATTTTAAAGTTTAATGTATTTTTTGTTGATTCTGGTCTTATACTTGTATATCCATTTGAAGTTGTAGGTCACCGCAATAAGGTAACATGGGCAAATAAGACCCACCTAACTGGAAATTTAATTATTTGTTTATACAAATTACATTATAGTAAAGTTTTGGTTAATTAAATCATGTTACGTACAAAACTTCATTCATTTCAAAACAAATATGACTTTTAATGTTCTAACAATTTTTTGTTACATTAAAAAAGCCCCTTTGTATTGAATTATTAAACATTGTATGTGAAATAAGGCATATAGCAACAGTCATTTGTCACAATTATAAACTTCATCAAAAAAAATTTACAAAATACAAAACTTCATATACAACTTGATCATATAAAGCTAACTAGAACTACACTTCTTCAGCGTAACTAAACAATCTCAAATTTTGCTTCTATGAACCAAAATTAGAGGTTTTTCAAACTATATGTAAAATATAATTGACAGTGAGTAACAATTCAATGTATTTACTTTGGGCCTTATTATATGGTCAAGGTTAGGACAACGGTTGCATAATAATTCAAATGAAGATGATTTTATTACCTTTTGTCAAGGTATCAATGTAGGTTGCGTATACGTACCATTACGTAACGTATCTAAACTTAATAAATTATACGTAAATTTAATAAAAAATAATTCATTTTAACTTCGTCTTATAAGGCCCACAAAGACTAATAAAGCCCAAGGACTGTGTTGTTGGGTCTTATTAGATATTAAGATCCTTATTATACGATTGTATATTTCTCCAAATAAAATGGAAACTAAAGTGCAAAATATTGTGTAAATATTTAAATTAAATGTTACATTAAATTAATATTTAAAATAAGCAAATAAACAGAAATCATTTAAAATCTAGTTTCAATTTATAGATTTTTGTTGAAGTTTTAACTTATGTTATATTGATCATGGACTTCCGCAACCGATAGCAATGAAGAGCTCATTTCACCATTTCGGTGGCCTAGACATTCGTAAGTCGTCAGTCACCGCGTTATTGCATTCTCATTGGTCCATACTATCTATTTGAGAGTATAGTTTCAAGACGTTGAAATTAATTTGATATAATTTGATATTATTTAGAAGGCTTCATTTGTCTACGTTACCTTATTTGTAAGTAATCAATATCGAAACTTGTAATATTTTGTTGAAAATAATAATTTTTTTTTACAACTACCTATCACTATTCTATAAAATAAACCACTAATTTATAATTTCATCATTTTTAGATTAATTTTAAAATTACATGACATAATTTATTAGACTGTGTAATAACGGTATAAAGATTGTGTATAACTACGTGCCATGGACACACACATAGACAACCACAACTTACACCTAAACTCACGAGAGAAATAAATGTAAGTCATACAAATATTTCTCCCGGCCCGGGAACCGAACCTGGAACCTCTGCGTGGCAGTCTGGCATGGTAACCGTTCGACCACAGAGGCAGTTATTTTGAGAAGTTATTGTGATGGATTTAATACTTACGGTATTTAATAAAAAATCTTCGCTTTATTTAATTTATTTAAGCCAATAATGCTTAAATTGTATTTGTACCTAAGATATGTTCGAAAAATACTAGAAACTGTTTTCAGAATGTTAAGCAATATTAATTAGTACATTTTCACACAAAGATTGCAAACATACTTCCAGAATTATTTACTAAAAAACTTATTGGTATCACATGCAAAGCCCCCATTATTGTACTGTATCAAAAATGTCTGATTTGTTTATTAGTCTCTGATTGTTGTCTGATGTAAATTTGATATTTCTTTACGCTGATCTCTGTAATTCCCTTTGTTCTTTCCAAATTTTACAATGACAACAATGTGAATGAATGTTATTTACATTTTTACATTTGAATAGGAGAAATAAAAAAAAAATTAAAAGTTATTTCCCATTGACCTAGTTGGTAGGTCAATGGGTTCTATGTAGAACTAGGACTTCTTGAAATTATAAAAAACATGATTAGGATTACAAAATACTTAAGCAGTGAGTAGTGAATGCAATATGTACTGTATATTGATACAAATATTCCGCTATCTGTCATTCATTGGAGTAGGCAATGATCACAATTCTCTTTTTTATACGATTGTATTCAATTTCCTAGAGGTAGGGTTCTGAATTTGCAGAACTAACCCGTGATATGTGTCACCACTAGGGATGCACATTATGAATTTGATTTTTATGAAGATCGATTCAAGTGTATACGATCTAGCGATTTTTTGTATCTATTCATTTCAATGTGATCTTTAAGTAAATCGATCAACATTAAAGTGAATCGAGCAGTCTAAGATCGTATTCATAATTTAGACTAGACAGTCTCTTTCTGAACTCCTATTTTATTTTGTTCTGCCAGAAATGGAGCCTGGCAACACCGAAGTGCATTAAGTCTACAATATTAGGCGATTGCCGCTACTTCTGTTCCATCTGAACGTCTTTTCTCACTGGCTAGTATACACTCTAAATGAATGCCGTAACCGACTGAAGCCAAAGCTGTCAAAAATATTTTTTCATCGAAATTAATTTTGAAACGATTTTTTTGAGATCGATTCAAGAGCATACGATCCAGTCTGTGGATCAATTCAGAAGCATATGATCAAAAAAATCGATTCGAGACAAAAAATCGTGATAGCGATCTATCACCACCCTACCTATTTGTATCGCAAGCCGGTACTGCTATGTTCGGGACTGAAAGCTAGAGGGTCCAGTGTATACAAATATACTTAATATTTGTGACTTTAAGGATACTTCGTACTATAATGAATTTCTTTATTCGGTGACCAACACTTTTAACAGATGGAGAGTAGTTTACCGGTTTAAATATCATAATTAATAAACACAGTACAGAGTACTAAAAAAACCGACCTCAAAAGTTCGTGGAATTACATCTATTTGCCAAGTTTTATTAAAATCGGTTATTGGAAAGTGCGCAAACCCGGAGTTATCCCCTAGTTCACCACTATACGGGACTTGACACAGGAGATGATTTGGAGCGTAGCAAAATCAATCATTAAAATAGTGATTCTCATAAAATTTAGGCGTCATTTATAAAAATAAGTCTTCACGCATGAAGCGGGAAAGCTTGCCTTTCAACCAGTAATACTTGCTTCAGGAAGAGGACAAATTTTTGAAAATGATCTTCTTACAATTCCTGTAGAAGTTGTTTTATCTGCCACTTTATTAACGCCATGAGTGCCAGGAAACACGAGTCGTAGCTCGACCCAATTTCCATTTTCACGGTGGTACACTATCCTCCTTTACAATTGCTAGAGCGTTCATTTTTAATGCGTCTTTACAAGTACGCCTTTAGTCCACAGTTGAAGCTGTGAGACATATTGTTTGCTCCATCTGCACCAAAAATGTTGTCGAAGTTTTTCAATTTGCTGGAAACGATTCAAGCGATTGTTTGGCACATCTTGATAATCCTGGCTTGGCAAGGAAGTGAGCGGTCTACCGGTGATGATATGTTCTGGTGTCAATGGCATTAGGTCTTCTGGATCTCGAGAGAGGGGTAAGTGGTCGTGAATTGAGGATTGCTTCAATTGCCTCCGTGGCCGAACGGTTACCATATCGGATTGCCTCATACATTTATTTGTTTCGTGAGTTTGGGTGTAATTTGTGGTTGTCCAGGTCCATGGTACCCGCGAATAAGGGTTTCTCTAGTGCGGGGCTATGTTGAGTGTATGCGTTATTACATACTAATTTGGGCAAGTGCTGTATAAAGCTTTTCAAAAGTTAAGTTACAATTGCCCAACACTCTTTGTAAATGACATTTGGTCGACTTTACACCAGCCTCCTATGGACTCCGAAATGTGGCGAATAAGCTGGAATAAAACAGAAATTTATTTCTTCATTGGCGACCTCAGACGATAGCGAATCACAATTAGTTTTTAAAAATTTTGAAAGGTTTACGGTTTAAGGTTTGAAAGGAAAATATGGTCCTGGTCCCTCCTATGCGCAATGAATCTGCGTAATGCAAATAAATAATTATTGCTTGTCAAGTCACCAACCAGTTCTATGTGGATAGACGTTGTCGTGAAACGTGTAAAAAGGGGATTGCCCTTGTTCTCCTGCTTATGTACACCTTCACCAGCCTAAATCCACGACCTTGACGATTGGCAGTTAAGTTCACTTTTTTTCTTGATTTAAAGCTTATATGTCTTGGAATACAGGTAGCAAATCCGGCTTAGGTCTAGGACCATGTATGGGACTTAACACAGAAGATAATAAAAAACGATTCTCACTGCTTATAATAAATACTACAGCGAGAAAAACGCCTTGAATTGGAGAATAGCAAAAACAACCATTAAAATAATTGCTCCTTATAATAAAATTTAGGCGCTATTTATAAAAATGAGTCTTCATGCGTGAACAGCTACCCTTAGAGGTGGATGATTTTCTTCTAAATTAAATGGGACCGCTATTGAGGTACCCTCTCTGCAACAAAAAAGAATCATCAAAATCGATTCACAAATTTTAGTTACCGTTTAACATACATACAAAGAAAACGCAGTCGAATTGTCGAGAATCTCCTCCTTTTTTTTGACGTTAGTTAAAATACAAACACAGGTTATTTGTATTTATTTCGTTATATGTACAGAATTTCGTTAAATGTAACGAACGAATGGATGCATTCGCATCAATGCTTTCATGAACGTTCCATGCACTTCGACTTGGCCTTTTATATTAAATAGCTGCATTCAATAGTACGAAGAGATCCCAATTTCCACTATTAGTGACAGGTATTAGTTTTGAAATATTGAAATAAATAAATAATACGACTTTATTCTTCAACACAAAACATACATTTAAAATATTATTAACAATTGCTTAAAACTGTGTTAAAGAAAAAGTAAACATCTTAGCAATTTGCTGTTTTGTCAGGCTTCATCTGGCTGGTATTCGCCGATGGAGACACCGTAGCATGTAGACACGGGTAAATTTTTCGATTAAGTATTATATAAGAGGGTACCTTATTGTATGGAACACTTACTACAGGAAGAAGTATCAATTATTAAACTTTACAATTTCAAATGTCATACGTACCGACCACTGGTCATAGGTACTGGCAAGAGTGTAAAGAGTTGGTGTTTTACTAAAAAGAATAGAAAATAAATGTAAATAAAAAAGAAATAAATAATATAACATCACATAGGTTGCTTCGATCCCAAAGTAAGTAACTAAGTTACTTGCGTAATGGAAATCGGAAACAACGACGGTACCACAAACACTCAGACCCGAGATAATATAGAAAAGTTTCTACATTGACCCGGCCGGGGATCGAAACCGGGATCTCAGAGTTGGCCATAAAAACCGATGCGCAAACCACTCGACAACGACCACGGAGGTCGTCACACGAACAGGAAGAGATTTATATACATGTGTCGATATAAAGTGTAGTTTCAAAGTTCCGTACCCGAGAAGTAAAAAATGGAAAAAGTGTTATACTGTAACTCCATTTTTTACGATTTTGAGTTTTTAACGGTATCCTACATAATTTTTCGAGCTCTATCGACCCATAAAACTGTGCTTACGAAATTCGCCATAGGTACTGAGTTCCTTACAAGTATTTTGATGTAAGACAGCTACCCACTACGAAGCATTTTATTGTAAGTTCGGAGTTACAGTGTTATGCTGAATTTTAGTACAGATAGAGTATAATGTTATAAGTAACGAAAACAAATAATAATTATAGACTACGATTCGCCGGTGCCTAATCAAGAAATACGCCCGAAATCCCCGAATGGAGGTTAGATAGTCTCACCACCGTTACAAAAATTCAAGAACAATTTCTGTTTAAATATGAAAAACTTCGTGTGCCAATCCAATCAGTGGGTTCTATTAACAATACATCGAACAGCTTGTTACAAATTGGCCATGAATCAACTCGGCAAACACCTCCATGTAAAAGCTACAAATTAGCTATTAAAAGTAAGAAATTGATTTCATTATGTAAACAGTCCTAATCTCTAATTACCAAACTTTGATTATTAGAATATGCTGTTATTAAAAATTTATCAGTTTTATTTTTATGGCATCCTAAATGTTATACATGCTGCATTTTGACACAAAATCGCTTCTGTACAATTACAAAAATGACGGTTACAGTGTAATGCTTCTCAGGTACGGATTAATACTTTCTAAACAAATTATCAACCTGTGTGAATATTCATTCGTCACTTACTAATGTTATGGTTAAGTGAAAGCATATTTGTAGGGCTGCGCTCCGTGTCTGGGGTCCCTGAGGCGCGCATGGGGCCAAGAGTAAGCTTATCTCAATTAAAGGCTTTTTCCTCTTGGCAACCGGAGCATTTTTTTGTTTAGAATTTTAAAAGTCCACCCCTGGGCATGTCGATCCGGTATTGCAACGAAAACATTTTTTTAAACAACTTTCCCGTAAGAAAATTGTACTTGATATTCACCACTCGATTAACGAAAAACAAAATTCTTTGGGAACATTTGTTTTTGTGTTCATTAAAAACTTATATTGCCAGTATTTTAAGATTCTAATCAAATTACAAGTAGGTAAAGAAACCTTGAATTTTTTACTGACTATCTGCTTTAACATAAATCAAACATTTTGGTATCCACTTAAGTGAAAACACTAGTGCATAGTGACACGAAATGCATTTCGATTACATTGAAACTGCAAAATATTTTTTTTTTTTGTTGGAATGCACTCGGAAAGTAATTTGCATGCAGTTGGCATAGCATGTGGTCTGTGGTTGACACACAGACGGAATGCAGTTCGTGTGAGTACACTATAAGTTGCTACTTCTTACATACTCAGCCAAGTCGCTGCCTTTATACAATAACGTAGAATAGTAGAATATTACGATATTTAAATAGGTGTAGAGCGACGAGCAGAGCAAGTGAAACTTTATCGTGAATGGAGCACACATACGAATACAAAAAAATTTGACATAAGAAGGTGCTTTATATACGATAAAGTTTTGATAAAGCTACGCCTAGTTCATAGTCGTAGTACCTATTCTGCTATTCTACGTTATAATTCAAAGGCAGAGACGCGCGAATAAGTTATGTAATATTTAAATTTGAAATACGAATATCTCGAATTCCAAGATGTAGCGTTTAAAGTTAATACGGATTTGTAGAGTAAATTATTGATAAGTTTCAAAACTTGCTGAACTCACAGGAAACGTTTGCCCTAAAACTTAGAAGCTTTGAAATTTAGAAGTAAAGTTTGTGAAGATTAGAAGTATGTGCGTTACACCCATTGTAATATTCAAAAGTGGTTTATTACACCTCAGAAGAGTTCATAAATCGATACGGCTTAGCGAGTGTCGAGAGTAGAGTGCGGTGGCATGAGAAAGCCGCCGATAGTAGCTCCTTAGCGCTGTGCCGGCGGCCTTAAAAGCTTTTATATTTCTTTCGGAAATAATATATTGTAATACCTCGCCGCGGGAGGAAATATGCAAAAATATACAATTTTTATTCGCTGCGTTAATATTTTTTAACGGTTCGTCGATGGTCGGGGCTCAAGGGAGCGCTCATGGGGCCTTAAGCACGGATTTTCACGCACCGACTGCTTCTACAGCATATTAGTACTGATAGAAGGTGACGCGTGTCGATACTCAATCTTACAATCTTCGTAGAATTTTGCATTTCAATTTTATTGTATTTATGATACAGTTTTAGGAAATGTGTGCATATATTTTTAGTTTTAGCATTTTTCGTGCAAATCTAATTCATAATCAATGCTCATACACTAGTAGTAGGTATTGTTTAAAACTACTCATAATCTGTCTACTGCAAATGCTACGCAGTCGTAAAGACACAAAAAATGTTTACGTTAGTTTTGTTATGCAGGAGTGGGAGGTGTGGGCAGTGCAGTAGTCGGGGCGGGTGCAGGGGGGTATGCGGGACTTTATGGTGGGTACGCGGCGGCGGCGCTAGCAGGGCTGGCGGGTCCGCCGCCCAAGCGCAAGCGCCGCCATCGGACCATCTTCACGGAAGAACAGCTGGAACAACTGGAGAGCACATTCGACAAGACACATTATCCTGACGTCGTGCTGAGGGAGCAATTGGCGCTCAGAGTTGATCTGAAAGAAGAACGAGTCGAGGTATTGTTTGCTTTTACTTTTTGGTTACATTTCATTGTCAATAAAAGACAGACAAGATATAAAGTTCCTGAATTTGATGTATAATTTTTGCACACCAATGTTTTTATTGACGTCACGTAGTCGTCAAATACTCTGCAACTATTATTTATAATTTGGGTGATATTTTAATAGGAAATCAAACCAATACTAATAATATCGTAATACAGAAAAGTAAACATTTCGTTTGTTGTGCAAGGTTTCACAATATTTTCTAACAGTACAATACAGATTGAACGCGGTAACAATAACAAATAAGAATTACGGCAAGGAATTGTATTTTTTTCTCTATTTAGCGTATAAAAAATAATTTTATTTTAAAATTTTTATGTATTGGGCGTAGCCGACTTTCGTCAAACATTGTTCCCAGATCAATTATTTTCTAAATTAAATATGTAACCACAAAACTTAGTTGAAAACTTTACTATCGTTTAGAATTGCATTATTGACAAAGTGTTGTTTGAGTTCGTTACGCGTATGTGATTAGATTAACAGGGCGTAACGTTGAGTAGGAGCTACTCGAAGGGCCAACAGTCAATAGTGACGCGACATTTTTTTCGTCTGCCACCGCCATCGCCATGTGGGTGGGCTGGCGTAACGATTAATTAAAACATTCAGTACATTGTTACTGTCGAGTGTTAATCAAATGAGAACGTGTATGAAATTACGTACATAGGTACTTACCTAGGTTGTACATATAAATTGACTTTGAGTAAATACGATCTTGAATGTGCCAACAAAATGCACTATATTATTTAACAACGATTCGTTCGAAAAATATTCCAACATTATGGAGGCAAACCAAAACTTACAATAAATGTTTCACTCGAAAGCCAAAACTGTTTTTCTAATTTTTAACAGCATGCATTATTTTCAATATAAAATTCGTAATGGATTCCAAAAAACAACTTGGGATTAGCTTATGCTCGAATAAAGTAGGCAACTATGAGCAAGACAGAGCACGAGTGCTCTTGATAATAGAATTTGGGATGTTGAAACTGAGTCGAAGGATGTTTGTTAGCTACTGGTGTTCGGTGAGTGTATGCTGACCACTCGAAGAGCCACCCGCGAGCGTGTTTGCTCGCCACCTCACGCGTCTCTAGCGTACCCAACTTACTTATGTTGCGCAAATCGGAATGACATTTCTAGATTTCTGTGGGTTTATCTACCTGACTGATCTGACATAGCCCAGATTAGGTTATTATTAGATACTAGGTAGTCATTTCACGCAAACATTAGCATCGCACTGTTAACATAAGTAACAATGAATAATAATTGAAAAAAATGTTTTACTTATACGTACGTAAAAGGCATCAGCAAAAATATTAAACATTTTGGTTGATACTCAACACAATAAATGATTTGTACTAATGTTAATTTGTTTGATTGTGTGTTAACTTACTTTCCTATCATTCGTCACCATGTCGAGTTATACACAGTCGAAAACGTTAATTAATTTAAAATCTAATAAGTCAGACCACCAGAAAGATCAATGTAATAAACCTAATCTAAATAACTTTGTATGGCTTTCGTAATAGAAAAACCGGCGAAACGGCGCGTATAATTTGCTTTAGTGTAAACTTTTTATTAAGGAATCCCTAGTAATCACCGGCGAGAGTTGAACGAGTGGAGTTTTACCTAAGGGCAAATAAAAAGGGACGCTTGGTGAGACGGCGCGGCGCCGCGAAAATTAATCTGAGTTAATTAAATTTGATTTATTTATGCTTGTTGGAGCAGGCCAGGCGGGAGCCCCTGATAAAAGCACAACAATACGCCTAATAGGGGTCACTTTTACGGCTTTCCCGGATAACAGAGTTTTTCCCGATTCACGTAACTTACAGCTCGCGTAAGTAATAAGTGTTATTAATCACGAGATGTCTTTTATAATTTTTGTATTTTCCATTGCAACATTTTCCTTTTTGTTCATTCCTATGAACTTGAATAGTTAAGTTTCTTTTGAAAACTTTTGTGAAGGAATCTTGAATGTGTTTGTTTTTTTCGGAAGTATATTTATACGTGAAACCTTGTTTTTCGAGGCTACATGGGTTTGTTGTTGCCCCTGCTATTTGCGCAGCGGCAATTGGAAATTGCATTATTAAAACGCTTTTGTTTAGGCATCACAACACTTTCCTGAAATCGAGTTCCACGTACCGCTCGTGTTTTTGTCTGAGTTAGCTTTACCTCTAAAACCGTTTTTCAATGCTATTGTTATTGATATAGCAAACCAAACAAACTTATTAGTATACTTATCATATAGGTATGTCTACCTTACATTTACCTTTGCCATATGCCTTGTTTTCATGTCTTATTTTGTATAAAATCGTTTTCCAATTTTATGCGTGAGGCAGGTTTACGGCTAAAAATAAATTATTATTAAACCGCTCGTATTATTTAAAAGCAGTGATAGCCTAGTTGAAAGAACAATTACCCTTTAATAAAAGGGAATGTTCCAAACGTGGACTGTGGACGTGGGGACGTGGGTTCGGTTTGCATCTTGGGGCTACTCTATTACTGATTCTTTGCTAGTAATTTGTGGGGCTTAGTTAAACTTATTATCACTTGCTTGACCGGTGAAAGAAGTCCTGTGAAGTGAGGAACCCAGCGTTCAGTGATCCAGGTGTAAACACTTTCCTTAGATTTTTCTAAGGAAAGGGTTTAGGCCATACCTTGGTCTTTACCCTTGCCCAGCAGTAGGACCTAGATGGATTAACGACGGTGATTACAGCAAGTACACGTTATATTTAACTAACCGTTTGTTTCGTTAAAAATTTGTGCGTAGGTAGACGTTAAATTCTAATACCGAAAATTTTTCAATAAAATTTGTAGTTATGTTAATTTACAAGACGAGGCTTAATGAAAATAACTTAAGAAAAAGTCACAGTGTCAATATTGTAAGTGAAGAGAGGAGCTAAGCAAACTTGCAGACAAGCGAGTGCCTCAGGGTTCCATTGTCGGAGACGCTTCAACTCTTTACACAAATTAATTATTTAAGAGACGGGTAATCGCGACTTTTCCAAGAGGGCAGAATACGGCTACCACAGTTTTGTTCTTGTAGGTATGAACAATTTCATTAGATATATGTATTTTAATATATGTAGGTAAGTGGTACCTACAGTACCTATACTTATTTTAAAATTTCAATTCCCTTTTCAATATTAATTGCCTCCATGACCGAACGACTGCCACGCAGAGGTCCCAGGTTCGATTCCCGGGTCGAGAGAAATATTTATTTCTCTCGTGAGTTTGAGTGTAAAATGTGGTTGTCTATGTGTGTGTCCATGGCACTCCGAACACAGGGTTTCCCTAGTGGGGGGCCATGTTGAGTGTGAGCGTAAAAAAAAATATAAAAAAATATTAAGTTTATTGAACGTTTTACAACCATGATACTAAATTATTTTTTGTGAAATTACTCGACTAGTTTGTAATACATACTAATTCTTAATACAAATATCGAACACTAAAAAAAATTCCTTTGATCCGGCTGGATTCGAACCAGCGCCTTCAGCATACCGTGGCTGATGCTTTCACGAACTGAGCTACGGAACGAACCAGCAGAGCTCACGAATTTTTTTATGTGAGATATGTGTTTTTGGTTTTAACGACTTTTTTGCCGTAGCGCCATCCGTAAGAAACTTTTTCTTCACTCAGCCAGATACCTTTACAACTACCAGCGCCTGACTAGAGATGTCATGTTCATCAATATCATGGTAGTAAAACATTACGTTGTTCAATAAACTTAAAATATCAGTGAGTTTACGCTTTAGCGCATCAACATTACGATTGAATATATCAACATCCAGATCATGATTGCTCAGCACACTAATCAAACTCTTGCTAGCTCTACAAAGATAACTATTTTGTCTATAAATAGTTTGACCTCGCTTAGTGAACTGTAATACGACCACTCATCTTTAACTAATGGTAATTTCCCAGATTCTTTCTGCTTCTTTCACCTCACAGGGTGGCTGAATAGAATACCGATTCTACAGTAATTGATGACGATGTATCCCTACGACGATTCGTAAAGCATCCATTTTAAAAGTAAAAAAAATTGGGTATATGGATAAAATAATCTTGACTTACAACAATGTATGAAATATTAAAATGAGGAATGTACAAGTAAGGATAGACGGGAGCAAGCCGAGCCCAGATCGCCCGAGGCGCGCCGTCTCCATGTCAATGTTGATCTTCTTGCGAACACTGTCTGATTAAATCTGGATAGCTTACATTCATTCCAGTCATCTCCTTGCTTCCCTATGACATTCATAATTAAATGATAATAAAGTGTGGGACAACTCTGAATTCGCCGCATTTCTAAATCTCGTTACAGGAAATGAATACAAATAAATTAAATACATTACTGCGGAGTTTTAATTTGCTTTTTGTTATGTTTTACAATTACTTGCTTACAGATATTCATTCTGTACCACGTTTATGTTTAGTATTTTGTCAATACAAAAGATATTAAAATATTGGATAAAAGGGTATAAAAGTGGTGGGACAGTCTCATAAAAAACTTTTCTAACACAGAAGAACTGCATAACATATAAAGCACCTACAGTTTTGGTAGAATCGTTTCTTAAATTATTATGTTATTAGCAATTGTACGAGTTTTAACAACATAGATTTTTGTAAAAAAATCCTTTACGATCTAATTAGCAAATGTCATCATTCGTTTGCGTGTCGCAGCAGCAGTGAATTTCACATGAGTGCACTGTATAATTGACGTGGCAATGCACGGCTCCTACGCCACGGTGTAGGTTATAGTTTATGCGACACGATCCGATTGATGGAAATTTAACGTGATTATATATTCATTTTTATTTGCGCTTTTCCTCTTTTGTTAGAACGAAATATCAGCTAAGCGTGGCTCTTATACTCTCTTACTAATTACAACAAAATCCTGGATAAACTTTAAAAAGTCAAGTTAGTAAGCAGTAAAGCTCCTTGTGAAAGAATTCATC